AGAAGAAGAAGAAGAAGAAGAAGAAGAAGAAGAAGAAGAAGAAGAAGAAGAAGCGCTCTATAGATACGACGTCTCATCCCCCCCACACCTAGAGGACCAATAAAAAAGTCCCTGACTCACCGATAAAATTGAGATTTGCCGATAGGCTTCCACAGTTACCCCGGGTACGTCCGTTAGAACTCCTTGACGCACTTTGCCGACACGCCCGGAAGATGCCATAGTTTCTGGTCACAATCGTCTGAAATTCAAATAAAAAAGCTGCTAAAAAAACCCCCCATCTACTTGTTTTATGCCCCCACCAACACAATTTGACATTTTGGGAAGTTGGTAACTTCAACCCTGCTGTCATTCGTAACCTGGGCTGAGTGGGATACATCATGCCAGTAGGTAACGGGGATGCAAATAAAAATAACAGCAGCAACAATAACTACAGCAATAGCAATAACAGCTTGTCCACTTTGAAATCGAACACACATCTTCTGCTAGGTATGGCGAAGACTCTTACACGTACATGACAGGTTGAGACTGAGAGAAAGACACACTATGAATATGATGATGATGATGCTCTACAACCATGACGACGACGAGAATGATGATAAGAATGGTAATGAAGATGATGATGATGTCATTGCAAAAAGCATTATTACCCCCCCCCCCACACACACACGATTCTGATTTACCAAAACCCCAAATTGGCACTTTTAACCAAAGGAATATGTCCCCTGAGCATGGCTTTGATACCTCCTATATATGAAAATATGAGATAAATTTTGTCAGATTTGATTTGAAAACAGTTTCTGTGTTTCTCAATAATAGTTTATGATAAATGATTAGATTATAACTACAGCACTTTCACGCACATTAACTACAAGTACAAGAGGTACTTATTGCTGTATAGGATTTTAAAGGGTTTGATGATTATTTATTGTTAAGATAAACGTGTATATGTTTTAAAATTTTAATGCCCTAGCATGGGTGAAAAGTAAAGAAAAAAGACGACATCCCCTCCAAAATACCAAACCAAAACCAAACCAAAACAACAAGAGCAACAACAACAACCTCCCTCCCCCCCCCCCGAACCCCTAAACAACCCACCCACTTGCAGGTTTTCGTCTTGTGTGGAAACATTTCCTTTCGGGAATCTTATTTGCAGACATAATTACGAAAAAAGTCATTGTGAATGTGTTACGTCCCCATAATTATAACACATTACATATAGGCTTAGATCTATAGGCTATGTATTATTCCAGTGTTAAAGTGACTCTGACAAATAACATGATAACAGGACAAGTCTAAAATGACCGTACTCCGGCTGTAACCTGCATATAGTACAAACCTCATTAGGATTTATTTTCTGAGCAGCATAGTCAATTGCCGGACGTTCTACCCAGTAGGTAGTCACCATGGCAACGACATAACAAACAAAGCCCATTGCAATCAAAATCTGGCCAATCCGGAACAGCACGCGGCTCAGCCTTGTGGAACATGACTCTCCCATGATATGGCCGGGAAGGATATGTCCTCACCCACAGATGCACTTCTTTCTCAAGTGTCAAATCTGAAACAGAGATAAACGTAATTGACCTATCACCATTTTTTCGGCTTGTGTAATTGCTTCATTGCACACCGTATGTTTTTTTCCTCACCACAGTCGACCTAATTTAGGTAATCTAGGAGGCTAGAATCTAGTTGTATTTTGATTGCCCTTCATGTCAGGGCCAAACCGGGGTAGCAACAGAATAGGAGACAGTCTCTCAGCAGAAGGACGTAGGCTTTTGATAAAAATAGAATTACCCACGGCGGATTCGAACTCAAGTTTTTTAAACTGCAAGGACCAAGATTCGAACTATAACAATAGCTGAAGGTTTTAGAGGTAACATGTCGTCACATATCTGTTTGTTTGTGAGAATGACAGAGCAATACTGTTTGTGATATTATTTTCATCTTTTGTCTCTTGTAAGTGTTTTACGGCGCTCGCAACTGCATACGGTCATATGAGTGCGCAGGGCACATAGTACGCATTTTCAGTTTGGACAGAAACATTTTAAAATCTTGCCTGGAATGCTGTCGAAGCCTAATCTTATCGATATTAGGACCACCAGGGGATTTTTGACCAGCGCAACGTGCACACAGGACCTCCGAGATCTTAGATCTTATCTACCATAAGATCAAGATTGTGACTGAGGAGCCAAGGAGAAACAGTAGACCGGCTGCAGAACGAGTCAGGGGCCTAGAGGAGGTGGCATGGCAGAAAGTGGGGACAAAAGCAGACAACAGAACACGGTCAGACAGCAGGATAGGTGGTGAAAGGAAAACATATTTTTAGAGAAGAACATTTGCCTTCGCTGTTGTTAGGTTTCGAACCCGGGTCCTATTGAATGAGAGGCGAACACCGAACCTTTGATCACGAGAGCCCCTCATGTTTCCAGGTAATAATTACTTCTGTAATAAGGCAAAGTTTTGTTAATTCAAAACCCTATTCTTTATTTTGTCTGACTAAGTCTGAACCTACCTGTCCTTCTCCACACATTATTATAATAATTTCGATGTTAGTAATTTTCGTGCGCCCTGTGCTCTAACACAAATTTCTGTTTAATACAAATAGTTGTACGTCTTACGCAATGTCAACACTATTTAAAGCAATAAGTAAGCGGTTACCTCGACCGTGTCTACCAGGCAAATCCAGGCTATGTGGGATACAACGTCTCACGGACAAACGAAGACATTCTTAGAAAGCCACCCCCCCTCGAAAAAAAAGGAAAAAAAAGAAGAAACAATCAAAACAACCAAAACAACAACAACAACCCCCCCCCCGGTCCAAAAAAACCCCAACAACAACAAAAAACTTCTTCGCATAGGATTATGGGATTGACCTAATGTTTTCTATATATTATTATGCAATGGCCTAGAGCCTTAACATTACTACAAAGAAGCCGGTGAACATGCTCAGGGTACCGAAAAAAAGATAGAGCAGTGCGTCATCTCTTTCCTGTTGATCGTTATGCATGTATAATAATTCGCACTACCAGAATAACAGAATATAGTAATCTTGCTTTAAATCTAATGTGTTTGCGCATTTTAAAGTGCAGATGTAGCTGTGGTAATGAAGACCATAATACCACATGTCACCCGTCAGTATCATTATGGTTTATGGTTGTCCTTGACGCTTCTTGCCTAGGCCCTCCCCTCTACTCCTCTCTTCCGTCTGCTCCCGGAAGACTAACTAACTATTACGTCATTTGTGTCCTGCCAGGGATGTTGTCAAGGTACGCTTTTGAAGGTCTGCTTCGTTTCCGTCTCTGTTATGTTTTGCCCACAGAATTCTACACAGCCCACATAATTCTACACTTATAGAAACGGAACTCCCTCTTCGTGATCGCTGATTCCCTGTGAGGAATTGAAACTAAAACATGGCGGCCAATTGAGGGCAGCTTTGGCTGCGCCGCACAGCGAGGCTTCGCGTTGCTATGCACGCTGATGCTTGTGGTAGGGCTTGGAAGACACCTTACATCAGTATTTTAAACTTTCTTCGAAGAGGAAATATAGTGAAATAGTCTAGTACATTTTTATTGCCAACAATATGTCATAATCGGCAAAATTACAATGTTTTTGTGTTGTTAGTTTTTGTTTTTTTAAATGATGGGATAGGATCTAGAATTCTAGATCTACTAAAGATCTTCACACTCACAATACACTTGATAATAACACTAATTATGAACATTAATTCTGTTGGCAAAATATCTAGATATAGTCTTGATTAGTACTACGATAAAGGGGAAGCTGACAGTAACATGCTCACTACAATTACATTGTCATTAAACTTAAGGCCACCCACAGCAAGCAAAAAAGAACAACATAAACCTTTTCTCCAATTTGCTTGAAAGAGATCAATAAATTAAGCTTATATTGAGGAAATGTATTATTTCTCACTTTAAGAATTCATCTCTGTATTTGTATCAGTGAAATATAGTGTGTACAGCATGCTTTGTTTAAAGTACGTGCGAGTCTAACAAACACAAGAGATTGTAGAATGTGTTGGTTGCACATAAAATACATAGGCCTATTATACATGCTGCCAAAAACACAAAAATGCAGAAAAGGCCTCAAATATTGTTTTACACATTAAAGCCAATAATGCAAAACAAAGTAAACAAGAGTTGCATATATTTCCTGAATATATGTTCAAAGTCATTTTTGTGTGTGTTGAGAGTGTGGTTTCTAATGCATGAATGATAGGCTCATTCAGATGTGTTAATGAAGAAACTTGTGTGTACAGTCACAACAGAAAGAGTTCCATGGCGAGTGATCACTGGTCAAGGATTTCAGAGTATGCATTTTGAGAAAAATGTATCCCCATACCCTGGATCACATGTCGAGGGGACGGGCTTTTCCCCCTGTAATCCCCGCACACAGTAAACAAACATACATTTTTGAACACGTATAAGAAAAAATAAGTGGTCTCTTGCTACGGATCAAATCGAAGTCCTGTTACAATTCAATTAATTGATAAAAGCGCGTATCGCAAGGCATCGGCTAACCCAGCACCATTACGCTATTTAATAAATACGTTCGTCAGATCTGGAGTCTTTAATTTTTAATCCTGCACACAGTAACACAAGCACACATTCATGAACACGTATAAAAAAATAAGTGGTCTCTTGTTACGGATCAAATTGAAGTCCTGTTACAATTCAATACTTGATAATAGCGCGCATTGCAATGCATTGGCTAACCCAGCGTTATACGCTATTTAATAAATACATTCGTCAGATCTGGAATCTTAAATTGTAATCATAATTATATGCGCCCGCGTGTGGGAAGTGAGAGAGAAAGGAATTGAAAATTATTTAAAAAACAATTATGAAAGTAACATAATTAAAGTAGGACGTGCTGATAAAGGCCCAAAAAGGTGTATAGATGCGGAAATTAATGTTTTGGATGAAAATAATACGCTATCTCTACTACTGTAGCGTGCAGTCAAAACTGGGGGGG